CTCCTCCTCCCCTTCCCCGCTGCCGCTGCCCGGCCTCCCGGACCCCAACGGCGGCTCTGGCTGCCGCGCGGCGCGGGCGAGTCGCGTCGACTCGGGGAGAGCCCGCGCGGCCCGCGGCGCTGCTCGCGCAGCACTGCGCCATCGTTCCCGGCGCCGGAGAAAAGACAGCTCGTGGACCGGCTCAGCGCAAGAGTGGCCTTTCGCCGGAGCGACCTTTGGTGCGGGTTCACTGGGGTCCCCAGATCCTGGCATCGCTTGGACGTGTGCATTTTTTTCTCGGCGAGAACCATCGAGGACCAAAGAGCAAAAAAAAACACGCACGAAACCGAAGAAACACAAAAAAAATGACGTCCGAGCGATGGCGAGAGATGGCTGAACCAGATGCGATGGCAGCGGCTTGCGCGATCCAGTTCGGCCTCCCCGCGGCCCCCGAGCGTCGCGCACCACAGGTCGCTCCTGCCCAGGGCCGCTCTCACGTGCAGCCGAGTGGAGCGACGGGGGGCGGGGGGGGCGAGGGGGCAGACCAGTCTCAAGCCGGGCGTGTCCCTCTGCAGGAGGAATATTTACATAATGATCGTAAAAGGATGGTCTGGGGACGATGCTTCGACCATTTTTTTTGTAGGGAGCCAACCATATGTGAACCCTACCCCTACCCCCCACGATTTCTGAGGGGGAGGGTGGGGTTCACTTCGTTCGGGAGCTCCCAAGAAAAGTGAACCCCACCCTCCCCCTCAGAAATCATGGGGGGTAGGGGTAGGGTTCGCATGTGGCCCCCTATTCTGGCTACCTTTGATTCTCTGTTGGCTTTTTATGCGTCTTCCAAAAACTTCGCCTGCAGGAGGACATGCCCGACCCAAGGCGAAGGGGCGCACCAGTCACGGCCGGGAGGGCGATGGGCCTCAGGCCCTTGGAGGGGGCCCATCTTCGCTGGGAGGCCCTCCAGGGGCTTGAGGCCGAGGAAAGTTTGGGGCAGGAGGAGGAGGAGGAGGAAGAGGAGGCGGAGGAGGAGGAGGAGGAGGAGGAGGAGGAGGCGGAGGAGGCGGAGGAGGAGGAGGAGGAGGAGGCGGAGGAGGAGGAGGAGGAGGAGGAGGAGGAGGAGGAGGCGAGGGGGCCCTGGGAGGGGAGCGATGGGCCTCAAGCCCCTGGAGGCGTCGTTGGTCCGCTGGTTTCCCCCCAGGGGGGGGAAGGGGGCGGGGCGCCAAGCTCCCTCAGTTGGAGCCGGCGGTGGGGGCCTGGGAGGGCTTGGGGCGAGGAGGAGCGGGTGAGCAGGGAGCGAGGAGTAGGGGAAGGGGTGTGGGGGGGTGGGAGCGCTCCTGCATTACCTTCGTCCTCCTCCTGCGCCTGCTCCTCGTCGCCCTGCTCGTCCCCTCCCTCCTCGTCCCTTCCCCCTCCGCATCGTGTGTGCGCGAGTGAATGATGATTCTGAGGATGGAGATGATGATGATGATGATGATGATGATGATGATGATGATGATGATGATGATGATGATGATGATGATGATGATGATGATGATGATGATGAATATGATTATGCTGATGATGATGATGATGATGATGATGATGATGATGATGATGCTGATGATGATGATGATGGTGATGATGATGGTGATGATGATGATGCTGATGCTGATGCTGATGCTGATGCTGATGCTGATGATGAGGATGAGGAGGAGGAGGAGGATGAGGCTGATGCTGATGCTGATGCTGATGCTGATGCTGATGCTGCTGGTGGTGATGATGATGATACTGGTGATGATGGTGATGATGCTGACGATTGAGAACATGATGTTGATGATGACACTGGTGATGGTGATGATGATGGTGGTGGTGGTGATGAAGATGATACTGGTGATGATGATGATGATGATGATGATGATGATGATGAGGATGCTAATGATGAGGAGGGTGATGACGATGATGGTGATGATGATGCTGCTGGTGTTGATGATGCTGATGAGGATGATGAGGATGAGGATGAGGATGAGGATGGTGATTAGGAGGATGAGGAGGAGGAGGAGGAGGAGGAATATGAAGAGGAGGAGATGCCAAGTGTCGGTGCCGCCCCAGATCCCGACCCCTAGAGGTCACAGGATGTATCCGGAGGAGTCCAAAGGCCCAGAGCCGGCAGTCATGCGAAAAAGTTCACCAGAAGCAGTGAACAAAGCGGCATTCTCTACCCTCGAGCGCCGAGTGAAGAATGTAGCAATGTAGCAGCAGGACATGCGTAGGAGGTGGATGCGCGCGCAACGCTGGCATAGGCAGGTGACGTGCCCAACACATGGGAAGCCTCATCTCTTCACAAGATTAGTTTGATTTGCGTGTAGGCCAAAGGACGCCGCGTATGGGATAACACACCGCACACCGCACACCTCTGGGGACACGTCGCGAGGGGCCCCATCCTCCTGAACATCCGTCTCCTCCCTGTCCTTCTCCCCCCTACTCCTCGTTATCATCACCCCTCTTCTTTCCGACATCCTCCTTCTCCTCTAAGTGTCTCCCGGGGACCCCCGCGAGGGGGGCCCAGGAGGCAGAGGCGTCCTTTGCGTGCCCCGCGGAGACTGCCGCTGACGGCACCACCACCTGCTTCTCCGCCTCCCGGTACTTCGCCTCCGGGGTCCTGTCCAAGGCGTTCTTTTGCTTGCACTCTGCTTTCAGCACCGCCTGATCCCTGGGCTCTGCCCTCTCTTGGCCTTGACGTGAGGCCCCGCCTTCTTTTTCCCTTCCCCTGTTAAGTAAAGCTGCGCGCGGCCCGCTTAGCTTCGACCGGAAGAGGCTCGCTCTCGACCCCGAGCATACCCCGAGCATACCACGTTCGTGCATGCCCCGAGCATACCACAGCGCGGGGCTCTGCGCCGTTGGGCGGTCCACAGCATGCCCCACAGCGCGATCGACTTTGCATCGCTCGGACGTGTGCATTTTTCTTTCGGCGAGGACCATCGAGGAGCATCCTTCATGATTTGGCGAAAACACACACGCACACGCACACACACACACACACACGAAACCGAACAAAAACAGGGAATGGACGTCCAAGCGATGGCGAGTCGATGATATCGATGGCGCATGTGCCGCACGCATTGAAAGCAGCGCAGGCAGTCAGAGGAGGAAAAGGTTCCCATACCGCTACCCTTCCCTCGTTTACGCCTTTTTGGGCATCCTGGGAGGCCCTCGTCGCCATCGATGGATTCGCCCTGAAATTCTGGTCAGAACGCCCCCCAGGAGAGGTCTTGGGAGTAGCGGTATCGGTACTTCTTTGGTTTCCCCAGACAGTGCACACAATATTGGAAGGCCTTACGGCCAGTGCCGCCGACCCTAAAGGAGGACGACGACCACGACGGCGGCGTCGGCGGCGACGACGACGCTGACGTCGGGCAGAGCCTCATGGTGGCCCCTTCGGGCTTCCTGGGGGCCTCTTCGGGGCCTCGTGGGGACTCCGACTCCGACTCCGATTCCGACTCGGCTTCGGATTCTGATCCCGATCCCGACTCCTTTGCGAGTCCTCGCCGCTC